TATATATATATATATATATATATATATATATATATATATATATATATATATATAGTCTGTAACATATTATAACGAACAACATAACAATATAGAAAATAATATCTTGTGTATAATAGTAAAAAAATCTAATATAATATAGAACCTAACATAATGAAATCATATAAACAGACAAAAAAAACAAGAAGAAAAGGAAAAAGGTAACGGGACAAACGTCTCGTTACAACTATTTATTATCATTTTAATAGTAATCATTCTAATGAGAAAGATTACTATTGTAATAATAATTTTCATTAATATACTGCACGTGTTATATAACAGTTATATTGTTGAGTAACAGTTATATTGTTTAATTATTGTTAAACAATTTTTTTGTTAACCCAAGAGAAACATATTATGCGCACTCCTTTCCTCTGGAGAGAAACGGAAGTTATGCCGGACTCCTGCCGGCTAAAACTCTTAGGGGGTTAGTTGGGACGCCGAGGATATTGTTTCCTACATTGCTTCCTTTCGGCTACTTTCGCTCCCCTCGCTATGTGCTGGGTCCCACATGTGCTAGTGTGAGGGGAGGGGAACCCGGCATCCCGGGCAGATATGACCAGTTGGAACCGGTGTAGGCTAGGTCTGTCCGGGTTAGTCTCCTCATGCTTTTTCTCTAAAGGCCTTTGCACGTAGAAAAATTTTAACCGTAACCGTAAGGTCGTAAGAAAACTGACTAATCAGAATTGATTATTTTCCTTGCGTTCGAAGAATAATCGACTGTGATTGGTCAGTTTTCTTTCGATCTTACGGTTACGGTTAAATTTTTTCTACGTGTAAAGGCCTTAAAGGAAAGGGCACTCGCCTTTTTCCTCTCGCCGCCCTCCCCTCCGCTCTTTTCTGAGAGCCCATGTGAGTGCAGACTGTCTGGGGGGCGGAGTTAAACCCCGCCCGCTATGGAAAGCACCTTCCCCCCTAGTTGCTGTCTCTGAGACGGGCCCTGGGCGGCTACGGTCTCGCAGGCCTCCTCGTCCCGTCTCTGTCATTCGACAGAGCGAGGTTGGCTTTGCTGGGGAGTGGGAAATCATAACTAACAGTTGTATAACTATTACTTGGTATTTGTTGGGTATATGAAAAATCATATGATTCTATAAAAAAGAAAATAAATCAAGTTAATTTTTATATCACCCTTAAAATTTTATCTATTTAAATCAGGTTATTTTTAAGTTATTCAACATTTCTTTCACTTATTGATATTACTAATCACTTACCTATATTACTAATAGTTTCAAAGATATTGTGATTCGATTTAAGTGGGACATCCTGTATATATGAACTGATATAAAAATGTATTTGAATATACGTTTGCATGTATGTTCTTCTTTCTTATTAGATGCAATGAAGTCAATCATCTATTTTTCTTTCTTGTAAGAGAACAATAGCTATCTACAATAAAAAATATATTAAATATTTTTTTAAAGAAATATACTTGCCATTACGTTGAGTATAATGAAATTTGATTAGCTAGTAAATAACCCAAGATATTTTAGAATCATTCTAGTGTCATTCCAAACGTTCATCATAAAAATGTGCAAATTATTTTCAATCAGGTATTGGATATGCAGTCGTCTTAATTGCGTTTTACGTCGATTTCTACTACAATGTTATTATCGCCTGGTCGCTACGGTATTTCTTCGCTTCGTTCTCCGGATTGTTGCCGTGGACTACCTGCGATAATCCTTGGAACACACCATTGTGCCGTGAATTTGATGCAAATATTACATACGCAATGGAGAATACAATAGCTGACGAAGTGAATGAGAATCTTGGAAACACTACACGGTTTTTGATTGATCAAACATCGGATATAACCGTGGATAGTCAGAGTGTAGCAGACAATCATACAGCGTATACGAGCGCTGCTCATGAATATTTCAAGTAAGCGGCGCCTCCAAAATAATACACATATACCTAAATGTTTACCTGAATATTTTAGAATGCTAATAATATTCAGAATATTATTTATTTCGTATATATTTGCCAATATTCTGGTCGCTATTTTCATTTTTTAAATTAACATTTTGCGATTTGAAAATATTTATGCGATGTCAAAAATTTACTCATATACAAAACTAAAAAAAATATAATTGGTTATAGTCTGTTTATTTTATTGAAGGATTTAATAATGTTATTAGAATTTATAATAATTTTATTGTTATTGCCAACACTTTTCGCGTATTAGCCTATATACAAAGTGTTTCTAAAGTCAGTTACAACCCCCATTATTTTGGAAATGGTTAATTCTGAAAAATCGCGAAGCACGTGTTTAATCATTTCAGGAAGCTACATTTTAAGGGAGCATTTAACTTTAAAATTTTTAATGCAACTTTCTATTTTTTATTACATATTCTTATAGCTTACCTCGAGAGCTATTTAAAACACTGTAATAAAGTATTTTTTTGTTAAGTACTTTTCGAGTTATGAGGCTTGAAAGTTACAATGTGTCAGTATCAGCATTATCCAAGATATTGCAATAATAAGCGTATTTCTTGTTTTTTGTTTTGTAGTTTTTTATCGTGAATAGAAAACGAAATAAAAGCAAATTAATTTATTTAGTAGAATGGTATCTACTTTTTTAGTGTAAATTATTTGCAAAAAGATTATTCAAATAAATGACGTTACAAAAAAAAACATTTCAATTATTTTAATTTCAAAATTATTTTCCAAAAGTAGATAATCTTTATAAGATAAACAAGAAGTAAGAATTTTAGATACATTGACAATAATCAACACAGTTAACGAGCAAGTAGCACTTGCAAAAACTACAAGTTGAAAATCAAATTATCAATTCCGTTGGTCAAAGTAGTCAGTAATGCCAAATTGCAGACGTAACAGCATGTAGGAGAAGATATTACTAGCACTGGAAAGGATTCCGACCATTCAAGTTTTGAGGCATTTGCCGCGTCGCGCCGTTCGTTTGCGTACATATTAACACATACTGTCGACTTTCAAACCTCATAATTCTAAAAGTATTTAACAAGAAAATACTTTAATATAATGTTTTAAAAAGCTCTCGAAATAAGCTATAAGAATATGCAATAAAAAATAGGGGGTAAATTAAAAATTTTTAAATTGGGTGCCCTCCTTGTACCTCCTTGAGGGGGACGACCCCTCACCTTCTTAAAAAAGTAATCCCCTGAAATGATTGAACACGTGTTTCGCAATTTTTCGGAATTTTGAACCGTTTCCAAAATAATGGGGATGGTAACTGACTTTAGAAACATCCTATATATAATAGATTATAGAACTCTTAAAATTAATCAGATTGACACTTAAAACGTAAATAGTTGGAACGCCTATAGAAATCGATTTTAATTTAATGAAAAAATAACATGTTTAATTAAATAATATACATATATCAAAATGTATTGCGAAAAATAGTTTTGAAAACTTGAATTAAAAAATATATTAAACCGATATTCATATATTTTGAAACTGATATTAAGGGGATGGTGGACTTAAAAACTTTACCGACTTTACTAACTGAAATACTGACTTTTTTTTGCAAAGTTTACGTCATATTGGTTGAACGGAATTGTAAATGCTTTTATTTTGCAAATACAAACACTGAAAGTACATGCAATAATGAATCGGAATATTGTTCAACATATAATAAAAAATTTTAAAATTAACATCTTGAGCTATCAGTTAATATAAATACTTACTTAGTATAAAAGTTCTACAGCTTGTATATACTATACATGTGTTTACTTCGCTAACAAAATTTCAAGAAACATTCTTGTATCTTTACAACTGAATTTAATAGCTTAAAAATATACAAAAAGTTTGTAGAAAGATTTCTATATATATGTTATGTTATATACATAACATAATATAACATTTTTTTATACAACGCTTTGTTTTCGAGATATTCAGGTGTTCCGGTATATAATATTCACCCTGTATATATTATGCTATATATATATTATGTTTCTTATGTTGCTATATATTATGTTGCTATTATATTATGTTTCTTATGTTGCTATATATATATTATGTTTCTTGCTAGCATAAAACAAAGCAGCATATATTTATATAAGATCTATATGTACAAAAAATATGAAAAAGATAGTATGATCTTGTAAGTAGAATCGTTTTTACGTTATCGACATTTTTGAAGTTTATCACCCATTTCAGCCATCTCCCATCTCATTAACCCATTTCCTTAAACAAAATCTTTTTGATACAAGTTCTTTGTAAGATCCCATATACATTATGAAACTTTTTACCTTTAAGCCGCGCTATTTTGGAGCTGCATGAAAGCGACGGCTTACACGATCTAGGGGCTATTAAATGGGACATCGCTCTATGCTTACTCGTGGTTTACCTAGTCTGTTATTTTTCTCTGTGGAAAGGAATCTCGACTTCTGGCAAGGTAAGCTGAATTCCTCGTTAAAGATTTAATTTCGTGATGTACTTTTGACTTCTCGCAAATACTTAAAATTCTGATAAAATATTGTATAGCGTGTTGCACTTACATATAGATCAGTACGACGGATTTCTTCGTCGGCAGGCGCGCGTACCGTGTCATTGTAGATTTTGGCGAAATTGTCACGCGCGCTCTCTTTCCTATAAAGTTTACTGCATTCTCTCCAAGTTATCACGATCGCGACGAACTTACGATCGGACTATTAATCGGTTATGACAGAAATAACAGTACAGATGTAAAAACGGGTGTGATAAGAATAATATAATAATGAGAAATGGAGGTTTTATTTTAAAGAAAAAATATCAACCACAGTCACTTTGTAGCTCTCGATTTTCTACTAATAACGACCTTTTACTAATAAGCTTCTTACATATTTATTTATAGAATTAAAAAAAACATATGTGGATATGATAACAACGTTATATACAGGATGTTTCAAACTCTCCTTCTCACATTAAGTGGAAATGTAGAACGGGTTGAGGTGAATATAAAAGTCCTATACTGTTTGGCGATATTCGTAATAATAACCGAGAAATTAATTGTAAAAGATTAAGGAAAAACGCACGCTGAATGGTTGAGGGAGGAACACTCGTGACCCAGTAATATAGCAGGCAAATGTCAGCGCGCATCAAGTGATAGATCAACTGTCTTATAACGAATTCGGTTGTTTGCACTAGTGCGTACTAAGGCTCGTTCACAGTATGTTAATATATTTAAAGATTGTTTTAAATAAATTCTCAAATATATTTCTAACCAGTAACGTGATATGTATAATATCCGTACAAATCATTTTATTAGCTAAAATGTTTTTAAACATGTTTTTTAAACATGTATTTAAGATATAATCTTAAATATGCTTAAATAAGAATATGCTGTAAACAAGTCTTAGCGCGCATTCAGGGCGCACTAATGCAAGCTACCGAATTCACTAATATGTCGGTGCGCTCCTACGTCCGCACCACCGCACCGCAACGAGGATCGCATCGATGGCCGCCAGCTGATTACAATTACAAGATCACATAAGACAAAAAAAATAACTGAAATTGAAATCATAAGTTCCTATAATTAAAAAAAATAATCGAAAAGGAGAAAGCGATATAAATTGAGATTTACAAAGATGAGATTTACAGAGAATCTAATTGTTTTCTATCGTTTACTATTAGAGGAGTACTCAATCGTTGGAATATGATAGAATTCCTATAGAGACTTGACGTGTTCTACTGTTTTCTATTGGAATCTATTATGAACAAATCCCTGGAAATTTATTGTAATCAGTGGTACATTGACGATAGGAGAAACTGAAAATTTTCTATCTTATAAGTATGAAAGAAAGCCCATTGACGTCAATCGTGTACCAATGATAATTGACATAAAATTTATCGCTAGATATAATTGTGATAAAAGGCATATCGTAATGTATCGTGAAGTCGTTACACGTCGTAATTCTCTAATAAGATATTTCATTTACGAATTTTCATGATTATGAAAGAAGAAAATAAAGAATCAATGAATTTATGTTTCCGTTCGTTAAAGATTCATGGAAAAAAAAAAAGATGAAATGATAATATACGTGTGCTTTAAACATATATTTAAGTTATCTATGGTATACTTGTACTTCTCAAAGTGTGTTGCGAATTGTACGTAGGCACGGCCTCGTAAAAATATAATAAACACTCGAGAACTGAGACACAACCATTGTCCTTTGTATCTATTAATATAAGTTGTCGAGTGACGAAAACGTAATGACAGCATATATAAGAAATGAAACGTTTATTGTGTCTGAAATTGGGAAAAAAACCAAATTAAGTTTTTCAACAATACGTAGAATTTCCTTTATTTTCGGGTGCCCCAATCATCCGTTTTGGTAGTAAATTATTAAGATTTTGGACACTATTTTCTATTTAAATAACTTTTGCTCTTCTATTCACAGACACTGCGATTTTCTAGATCGACAAATTTTGCTTTTTTAATACGAGAATCATTTAGATTTCGCTACTTCTGGATTTCAATCTTTTTCCACGTTCAATGTTTGAAAATACTTTGAACAAGCTGGAATATGTGTACTGAGAGAAATTATCCGATAAAAAATTAACCAAGGAATATTTACAATCAAATTCCGATCAATTTTTATATTCAATCAGGATATCCGATTAAATTTTATCGGATATTTCTGATCATAATAGCATTTCATCAGATAAACCGATCAAAAATTCATGAACCAATATTTCTTATGTTTCCTGATCGGATACAAAAATTCATCCGTATTTTGATCGGAAATACTCGTTTGTTAATTTTTAATCGGATCAATTTTCTCAGTGTTACATTGTATCTACATCGATCGAAATACCTGTAAATATTAAAAATTTATTAAATATGTTGAAGTGTGCTGTTATATTTCGCCTTTCTCACTCAATTATCTACTTATATTGATAAACACAAAGGATTGAGTCTTTGCAAGTGTTTATTTTTATGATATCATAATTTTATACATTTCGCTACACTTAGGGCATCTTTACAATTTATGATTAGCTTTAACTATCGGTTAAATATCAACCGTGATTGGTTAGTTCTGATCAACGTCAAATATGATTGATCAATTTCAATAGAATAACCGGTAGTTAAAGTTAATCGAACATTGTGAAAATGGTCCTTAAAAAAGTAGAAATATATCATACATAACTGAAAGGTAATACACGTACGTTGTTCTTTATTCGAGAATATAAAACACTATACTTACTTATCTTTCCGAAATAAAATTATTTCATGGCAAGGAAACGCTATCATTCCACACCGCTTTAGGAGGTAGATAGCTTGGCGCGTTTTTTTAAGTGGTTTCCTCAATAGGCCTAATCCATTCTCAATATTTAATGCAACAATTGTTCAAAGTGGCCTTCTCGTGCTTCCAAGCAAAGTTCGGCTCTTTGAGCAATATATCGCGTCGCGCGGTGTAACCATGCCCAGCGTGATGATATTAAAGGCTGCTACAATTGCTTCACGTACCTTGTTTTCGATACTATCATGTCTTTGTTACCGAAGCTTTAATATAGCCCCAAACAAAATAATCTAGCACATTTAAATCTGGCGACGGTGCCAGCCAAGTGATTGGGCTACTTCGACCCATCCACCTGTCCAGAAAATGTACATCTGAAATTTCGCGTACGCGACGGGAGGAATATACGGGAGCTCCATCTTCTGGAAAATCACCGTTTCTCTTGCGCGTAAAGGAACATCCTCCAGCAGCACCGGCAATTCGTTTACGATAAATTCCGCGTACGTCTGTGCATTAAGACAAGGCGGAAGTATGGGCTGATCTGAAAACCGTCAATGGATGCATAATGAAACAAGAACAAAAAATGTTTCTTAAACAAGAATATTTATTACTCGATTCGCGATTACTTCTGTCCATACATTAATCGACCAACGATGTTGAAATGAGCCTTCGCGAATAGCATGGGGATTCTCTTCTTACCAAATTAAAAAGTTTCTTGAATTAAATATACCATTTGGCGTAAAACTAGCTTCGTTCAATCACAAGATATTGTCAAGAAAGAAGGAATTTCGCCGATATTGTGTCAGGAATCCTGCGCATGTTTTATTAATAGTATTAACGCATGCTACAAGCACAGTAAATATTGAAAAAAGATCATAAAAATACCTTCACAAAAATAGGTGCGTTGTCCTTTATTTCGTGCAAGAAGTTGTTGCGCTCGCTGGTAATGAAAAAGGTGCAACTCCTTCTGCCGTAAAATACGATGCACTCTAGATCGTGAAAAACCGAGTGCACGGCGTATACTGTTTCCGGAATTTTCCTCAAACAACCGCAACACTTCCTTCTCATCATTAACATTACGCATAGGCGCACCACCACCGTGATTTCGATGATCTGCCACAAGAGATCCTGTTTTTCTCCCTCGTCGGGCACAAGCGGTAATTGTCTTATTCGACGGAATCCGATCTCGATTGGGAAATCGCTACGCGAAGATGCGCTCTGTGACACGAGCCCCCCATCCCGTAACAAATAACCATGTCCATATATTCCGCAATTGTATAATACATTTTTTATGCACTTTACAACACATAATTAATACGTATGTACACGCACCGGCGTTAATGCCGTCCGAATATCCGTGTGACTCGCACACGATACGCGTCACTCAACACTGCTGCGTGTAGGTGAGCCATGAGCAGACGGAGTGGCGGAGGGAGCTAGCGGTATACGATCGTCGGAAGCTTGGAGAGGGAATAGTGGTGGGAGTCGCGGCGATCTTCCATCCTCTATCGCAAACGTAAGAACGAGAGAAATAGCATTATAAGACGTCTGGACAGAAATGCCGTCCTAAAATACGTGTGACACACACTAAGAAAACGCTTGACTCACACTGTCTCGTCTATACATGAGCAATACGCGGTGTCCCGACGACTGTTTCGCTCGCTCGAACGTTCATGCATTTTTCATTGTTAGCAAGGAAATTACTGTAATGTAAAAATCTTGGGGAAAGGTTTTTAGGAGGCTTTGACAAATGCTTCTTAATAGCTACTCTTGAAAAAAAAATAAATATTAGATTTATTTTAATATAGAATTCTGAACCAACATAGAATATGTTGCAACAATATAACGTTTGTGTAGGTTGTCGATCGAAGAAGAGTATTTTTAATTTTATTGTTGCATAAACACGCGAGATATAATTATTTCATATTTTATGCGTTCGAGTATCGTTCCATCGTTATAAAATTTGGTGGCCCTGAGAAGGGCCGATTTTTGTGTCGAAGCAGTTGATTTTTGTATCCATAGTAATAAGGAATAATAATTATTTGAAACAGGCGCAAAAATCGGCCTTTTTAGACGCAGCAGGGGAATGAGTGACGCGTTACCGTGTGACTCGCACACGATGACGCGTCACTCACACACTGCTGCTTGTGGATGAACCACGAGCAGCACGGAGTGG